TAATATAAATATAATTTATTTAGTTAGTTTTTATATTCTAAATATATAATTATATATTTAAGTTCATTTGTTTTAATTTTATATAAAAAAATAACAACTTTTTAAATTAATATATTGAACTAGAATATATACAATCAATATCTAATAAAAAATATATATTAAATCCCAAACTGGTAGTGCTTCGAATGCCTGTTTTGTTGCTTTGCTTTGGGACAAACCAAATATAAAACAAATGTGAAAAATGAAATAGACCTTTTAGAAAGAAAGGAGAGAAGAGTACGGCATTATTAACCGTCGTTTCTTGCATATATAGACGCTCGTGAACCAGAACTTCCCCTCGTGAACTCCATATGATTAGGGCTTCTCTTCTCTTCCTCTATTATTAATTTGACTGCAGTTCTATTCCTCCACCAGCAATAGCATGGATACATAATTTCATGTCTCTACTCAAATCATTATCATAATATTAATTTGAAATGACATAAAACTGAATTCACAACTAACTTAACAATTCTTTTGACTTAAGATGCACGTTAATATTAAAAATTTTAATTCAAATTATTAATAATTTGTTGATCTTAACCCTTATATATCACTTACAATCCTCACACCATAAATACTACAATATGAAACAAAAACCCTCTCCCTTACAACCTAGCTAGCTAGAGCCGTCTGGCTGCTGGCACATGCTAGGTTTGAAGTTGAATGGTCCAAAAAAAATTTATGGCCTTTTTGGAATCTTCTTTAACAAATTCTTCCTTAACAAATTCTTCCTTTTTTTGTTCCTCTAAGTCCCCCAACTCACAATTGAAAATAAATGGAGATTAACCTGCCAACAAGAAAAAAGTGATGGAAACACCTTTAGGAAAGCAAAAAGATGAAAGGGGCCAGAAAATGGAAGGGGGAAAAAATCACGGATCATTCTAGAAATTTGAAGCCATAGATGAACATTTGTGGACTAATGTGGATTCAATTCATCTTCTTTGGTAGTACTGTTTGTTGTTGTGCATGTGAAGATATTGAGTTAGGAACAGAGAAGAGAGCAGTGCCATTAATTGCATGATCAATTTCTTCAACTTCACAAGGACAAAATGTGTTTTTGTCGCCACTACTTTGTTTGGATTACAAGACCCCTTAATTCATGGCCTACCACATAGCCACCCCTAGCATATATAGCAACTTCACGGATTGCAATTTCATGTCATCCCCCTCTAGTTTCTTTTCCTTTCTCTGCAGACAAACATCAATTCCCAAGGACTTTTGCCCTTTTCTTCCTTCCCAAAACTTGGCCTCTAATGCAAGCATGCATTGTCCTCCTTGACCCACATTGCACGCAGCACATGGATCATGCTCCAAACCCATATCCCTCACTGACAAGTAGCCACCAAAAAAATTTTAACACCATTTTTTTTTAACAAAACATAAATGTTTTTTACATTTTACCTTAAGGTACATTTGGAATTATTATAAGGTGTTGTGACTATAACCGAAACTGTAGTTATATTAAATTATGTTATACTATAATTGTAAGTGAAAGTTATTAAGGTGTTTAATTATTTATTTCTTAAAAGTATTATAAATGAAATATAGTAAAATTTATTAATTATTAATTAAAATTTAAAGAATATTATATGATGAATAATTATTCAAATAGATAATATTTATTATTTTTTAATAATTTAAGTTTTTTAAGTTTCTTATGATGGGTTTTTTTAGGTTTCTTGGAAAAGTAACTTACAAGGAGAAAATGAATTTTTAATTTTTTATGAAATCTTTAAATAAACAAGTAGTTAAGTTTAAATAAAATATTATAAATTATAATGTAATCGAATTAAATGAAATTCAATTTTAATAAGTAATTTTATAATTATATTAAATATTAAGTGTTATTCGTAAAAGTTAAAGTAAAAAACTCTAAAATAAGGATTCTAGTTTTATATATAAAACAATTATAAATCTATCCTAATTTTCTACAATTTTTAGAAAAAAAAAAACAATTTGAAAAAAAAAGTTACCAAATATATATATATATTTAAAAGTATTGTATAACTTTCTGAAAAAACTTTTAACCACAATCTCAAATGCACCCTTGCACTTATAGATATCATTCTCTGGTTGAAGAAGATAAATAAACCTTAATGAATCAAGAATGCATAAAGATTAATTAATGATATTTCTGTTTTTTCTCCCCCAGATTGATGTTTTTAAATATAGACCAACATGAAAAAACTATTCTCTTGACAAAAACTTAGAATGCTCTTTCTTGTTTTGATTTGGGACCTTTGAAACACACATTTTCTTTGGTAGTTAAGATAAGGTAGGTCATCTACGCCATGATGAGAAAATCATGTCCTCTTCAAAGATTGAACTTTAAATCACAAAGATGAAAGATCAAATTAGTTGCTTAAAATAATTTACGGGAATGAAAGATGGACAACATTGTTGTGTTCCCGTGGACAGTTTGGATTCAGTTTTTGTTGTTACTTTGCTTGAGAGGAAGTACTCAGTGGTGCCGTGGAAGTACTCAGTGGTTGTTCTTTCTTTTACAAAATATTTCCCTTTACATTTGCATCGGGTTTCAATTATGGACAAGTAAATTTATAAATCAGAAGATATATCATAGTGGTCCCTAAATATCTTTATGTTTTCTATATATTTCTTCTAAATGTGTCCACTAAATTTGATTTCTTTATGTCTTTGCCATTTTCTGATTATCTTTTCCCCTTTTGGGTTCAGCACACCACCATAGACAGAAATCTGACAATGACAAATGATGTTTGATTCTGCCAAAGTGGATAAGTGCAGATCTGTAAAGTTCATTACATAATTCAGAAGAAAAAAATGCACTTTCATAATCATACCTTGTAAAAAAATATGAAATGAGTAATTTCATTGAATTATTTCTCTCCTTGCAATAGTAATATCAGTATAATCTTTGATATCAATGCAGTCCGTACAATATCTAAACCATAATTTGCCGTAAGAATTTAGCATGGATACCTCAAACCTCCTCAGACCTCTTTTCCTACAGCCTAATTCATGTACTGTGTTTAATTAGTATATATACTAGATCTTATGGTATTTTTTTCTGACTTTTTTTTTTTTTTTTTTTTGTGTATATAAGGAGCTCGGAGCTTAGAGCTCAGTGTGAACAATATGATCATCCATGGTTGGTTCAATAAGCTCAGCAGTTTCTTTATGATCAATAACAACACAGTCTTTGTCTTCACCGCTTAAGCAGTCTGCTGAAGGGTGCACTATACCGTAACCAAATCCTCGAGCAGAATTGCAGTAAGTCTCTACCGTGCCATCCTTATTCTCTAAGTCGATATTGCTCAGGACAATGTTGGTGCACGGTACTGTGTCGCTGCAAGCAAACTTCATTGCTTTCTGGCTTGTAGTTGTCCCACTAATGTTTCGGTACATGATCTGGCTTATTTGTACAGCGGAAGTCTAACAAATAAACAGAGAGAATCATGAGAATAAATAATAAGAAAATGACGAGTGTACACCCGGGTCCACATATCATATAAACAAAAAAAAAAAATGCTTATCACCCAATCCAATTTTTTTTTTTGTGTGGAGGATGCACACCCGGGTGTTGGATCCTGGTGTACACCAATCATTGTCCTAAATAATATCAGCGCTTTGGCAAGATATAGAGAAAACAAAACGGAACTTTGATTATGTACCTGGTTTGGACAGACTGTTGGGGAATCACAGTAGAATTGATCAATAAGGATGGGATTTGCTACGTCTTCCACCATCACATTTTCAAAACGTACAGCACGAACATAACCAGAGCCCCCCTGTGACAGAGGATCATAAACAATCGGACAAAACATTCTAAAAGATATTAACCTCTTGCGTTTCTAGATGCTTGTGATTAGGATTTGCAAACTGAATTTATATGGAGTATCAAATCCCAATATCCCATCAAACACACCATCCACTCTCCTCCCAAAAATGGAAGAAAAAGTCAGGTTTCAAATCTTGTTCAAAAACAGCATCTAAATGCTACTAGTGTAATTGTCAATTTTTCCAGTTATGTTAACAAGTAAAGCCCCACATGATCCTCTACCTCTTCTTTTTTCCTTCTCTGAAAGTAGCTAAAAGGGACTGTTCTTGGCAAAATGTGCTGTATTTTCATGATTCATTACCTACACTGATAAAGAGTATTACCTGCCAAGTCTTAATCCTGACTCCATTTGTAGTCTCCTTTAAGAATGCGGTATCCAATACCACTTTTGTGACTATGCCTGTAGAGTTGTCCTTCCCAAGGCTTCCAATACTGAATAGAAAATTTCACAAAAATATCAATTAAAACATGAATAACAGCATTTTACAATATACAATTTTACATGTATGACATGAAAAAGAGACAAAGATGCATCTTGAGTTAGTCACAAGACTAATAATCTATTGCTGTTGCATTAGTTTACAGTTTCGTACAGGAACATGCCTGATTCCATGTCCTGGACCACAATATATTCTCTTCATCTTGATAGCAGAGGAAGAGTTGACAATTGAGATGCAATCATCTCCTGAAATCACAAGCATAATCACTGTGAAGCGTAAAGTTTATCTGTCAACTTCACTTTGGATGTGCTTAGATGCAAAACTGATACCATGAATGACAAAGGAAAAGGTTTAAACAACCTGTTCCAATTTTGCAATCTTCAAGAGCAATGTTTGTTGATTCACTGATGTGGATCCCATCGGTGTTGGGACTGTCTCCCGGAGCTGAGACTTGTACTTGAGAAATGCGCACAGAGTCACACCGGGAAATGACAAAATGCATCTGTTGGCTGTTCTGGATTGTTAGCCCTTTAACCTTTACAGCTGAGCTAGAGTCTATGGTCAGTGCCTGCAACAAACTTATATCTTTACCTCACTTGGCTTAAATTTATTACTTCTTTATTTGTGTAATTAAATGAAAAATAAAATTGGTACTTCTGTTTCACAATTTTTTAATGTTCTTTTCAGAATATGACTCATAAAACTATAGGGAAAGATGCTTACTGATGGTGCCCCTCTGCAACGCTGTCAAACAAAAACAAATAGCAAAAGAAAAATATGTTAAATTCTCTTTCTGCCATATACCCTGAGCAACAAAGATTTGTAAAGTGACTTCAATGAAATTACATTTGTCTTGTTCTTCTTGCAAGACGATGCCCACCACTTGCTGCCAGAGCCATCAATAACTCCATTTCCTTGGAAGCTGACTCTATTCAGCTTAGAGAAATCAAGCCAGAGTCGAGGAAGATTCGGGTCCCAATTTTTAGGTTCATCAGGTGCTATTATGGTTCCATCAATCTGATAATAAAAACGATGAAATGATTAAAACAAGCATCAACCAACAACACAAATATAGTCAAGATATAAACAAGTGTTAGTATATGAGGCAGCTATTTACAACAGAAATTATCTTTTCAACTAATTTTACCTGAATAATTAGCTTATCTTCACATGGTCCCTTAAACCTTGTTGCATTAACCAGATATTGACGTCCTGGGGGAACTAATAAAATTGATTTTGGTGTAGAGCATGCTGTGTCCCATGCTTCTCGGAAAGCCTAATAACAAGAATATTGCAGAAGAACAAAGGCAAACTTACAAATGAGAAAAGAGAGTAAGATCCCATGGCAATTAAAGCATTTTTGGGTGACAGGTAAATTAATAATATAACGGAAAATTCAAGATTTCTTATTCACATCCAACTTTAGAATAAACTGCTCCATTAACCTAGCTATTGCTTGTCATTTAAGTGGTCTAAAAGAGTTACTGAATGCATATGATCTGTCAATTATTTCTACAAGAAATTTTTTCTAGCAATATATGTGCTTAATTGTAGAAAGAAAAATAAGAAGGCAGAAGTAATCACCTGTGTGTCATCAGAAACTCCATCTCCAATTGCACCAAAGCTATCCACATTTACAAGAACCTTTCCACCATGTTCGCTTGTCCATGATGGGATATCAAGAATTTCCTCTTCATTTTCTTCTGCTATGTCCAGCTCTTCAAGCTCTCCAAGTATGCGTATTTTATCATCTTGCATGTTTCCTGCAACTCCAGGTGTCACTGTCAGGAAAATAAGCAAGGAAACCAGGAACAGTTTATCCATATTTTGTCTTTTCTGGCTCTCTGACAAGATCTATGGATTTGTATAAATCCAATGAATGAATTGGATTCATTTATATGTGCAGTATGCAGATTAGTTCTGGAAATGAAAGGTTTTGTGGAATATAGCTTCGCTTAAAAGTAGATGAATGTGTTACACTTTCTACATCCCCACACTTTAAGTACAAGGGAAAATTAATTTTATGTTCTTTGCTTTACTCTTCAACCCTTCACCAGTCAAAAATAATTCATAGATTCTTCATAAACTCTCTAGGATATGTGGATAAAATGAATCAGTTGAAGCAAAGTGTTTTCTAACCCCAAAAGAAAAGAAAAGAAATTGTTTCCTGAGTAATTTCAACTTCAAATTTCTAGAAAGAAATTAACATGCAAGAAAATATGTGGCATGAACGTCATGCAATAAATCCTCTAAAAAATTATATTAATTAGACCCAAAAGGGGAATGGGAAAAAAAGTCTTCCATCTTGTTCTCACAGGCCAAAAGCTTCAAGCAAAAGTAACCTTTCTGAAGGGTGGAAAGTCTGCAAACGGTGTAACCTCTCTCCTTGTTAAAAGAATAAAGCTGTCAATATTATTGAAAATTTAAGCAGAAATGGAAAGTTTGCTGTGTTCAGTTCTGAAAAAGGAAAGTTGAAACCGACAAGCATGTTCCAGGTGCTTTCCCTTTGATGGCTATGCATGATCAAATGCATGATCAAATTTTGAAAGAATATGAAAGCAAATGCTAATAATAACTGTTCACGTCTATTAAACTATGATCAACCTCCTTGTTAGCTTTCTTGCCATACTAGTCTGTCCAATTTGCAATGAGGTTTTAAATTCCCCAATTCCAGAATAAAAGTTGGATAGATGCAAATACACCATATAATTCTCCGGCTTAAGCTCCATCAGCCTGCTATTCATCCAACTACTTCATTCCTTAGGACCCCACAATTTCTTTGCAACAAGCTCCACATTACAGAATCACCCTTTCCAAGAGCCTGCTGCAGCAATTCTTTGGCTTCATGTGCTAGAGCTGTTAGGTTATCATACAAGAATAATGCTCCCATTTTGGGTGGATGCCATAGATTTATTTAAGTTACACATTATTTTTCCTTCTTCAACCAACCCTGAATGGTTGCACCAACTTAACACACACAAGAATGGCACTATAACCGTTTCTAGGTCCTTTTGGATCAATGCTCCTAACATATTGATTGCTTCTCTACTACCCATTCCATTTCTGGCAAATCCATTGACGACAGCCATGAAGTAGAGAATATTTGGTGAAGGAAGCTTTTTGAAAACCCTGGAAAAAAGTTCAACATGGTCACATTTGAATAACAATCTATTAGAGATAACTGAACTAGAATATCATATTCAAGGCCATATTTTACTCAAGTGTAGCAGACTGCAGCTTGGAAAAGCTTGCAAAATCAGCAACTAATAATGCTTTCAGTGTAGTAGAAAGAGTAACCTCATCAGGCCCAATCCCTTCATCAAATATTACCCCAAACATATCGAGAACATCTTCAATGATACCAGAGCACAATAAGGAGGTCATTAATGAATTACAAAACTCCAAAGTTCTATCAGGAGAACTCTCATATATATGAAAACTGAACTCTTAATTTCCCTGCATTTTCCACAGATGTTGTTCAGTGAGGTGCAGATTGGATATTCTCATAAATCCAAGGCCATTTTTAATAACAAAACAGTGAATCTGCCTCCCAAATCTCCCCACTCCCACTAAAACAGTTGAAGGATACAAGAAAAGAACAAACTGACAGTCTTTTCCCCAATATTGCATTACACCAAATAATTCGTGAGCATCAAACAGTAAACCATTGTCCTTGTATAGTGAGAATTGAATTCCATGATATCTCATCCTCCAAAATGAAATAGCTGCAAATGATTTAATGGCATCATTTACAATCCCACAAGCAGAGCGAAAATCCACTAAAGCATTAGCAACAAAAACATTGACTCCTTCTACCCAACCTTAATCACACGGACATGAAAGATGCTTTCTTTCCCTGAAAAATTTTTCATTACTTAAACCGCAAATCAGATAGAAAAACTAAGCCAATTTGGATCCATACCCTCCGATTCCATTTTATGAGACAATCCAAATAATTCATCTGCTTTACCCAGTTCACAAAGCCCACGTAATATCAAATTCCATGTCGTTAAATTTCATTCAGGCAATTCATCAAACAACTTTAAAGCTACTTCCTCAAGTCCCATGTGCATGCAAAGATCAACAAGTGAACTCTCAATGTACAAATTCAACTCAAACCCAAGTAAAATCACCCTCCATTGAACTTGAATTCCTTCTATGTGAATCCCCACACCATTACAAATACTAATAACAGAAGAAAAATTAGATGCACTTTCTCTGACTCCTTGCAAAACCATTTTACTACAATGATTTAGAGCCTGTTTTGGGTAACCACATCGACCATATCCAGAAACCAACAATTTATCCATAACAGCATCCCTTCTAGACATTTCGCTGAACACCTTCTGGGCATCACTTAAAAGCCCAGAATTTATCAAATCATCAATCTTTCTGTTTTTTCAGTAAATACCCAGATGCGGTCTGTGCACAAAGTGTCAAGGAAGAAGCTGCTGATGCAAAAGTTCTGTCCCAAGATTGTCGCTTCAGCCATATATGTGACCCTTAAATATTGTCAATTGCATCTCTAACCAATTATTATTTAGCCAATTTGGTCCATAAATTTTCATAAACTACAAAAACGTCCTTCATGGCAGCCCCAACCGCGAATATAAGGCTTCGACTTTCGATCCCACCCAAATTGAGTCTGAACTTTGAAGGGAAAGATTACAAGTTTAATGTTTCATCTTCCTCGCTCAATTATCTGATTGGCAAGGTGTGGGACGAAAAGTTGAAATTTCCCTCAGAACAAATACTGAATTTTACTGTTTTGGTCTAGGAGGCAAAGGGCATGCCCCGGTTCAAGGATGAGCCTCCGGCGGTACGCGTCTATACAGTTTGCGACGAATCCAGGTTTTGTCTCTGAATTTTCATGCCTTTCTCTGTTTTGTTTAAAGCTTTATATTAATTCTTATGTTTGGATTTTCATTTGTGTAAGATATTTGATTGTGAGGAACGTTCCGGCCCTGGGCTGCGGCGACGATTTGTTGAAACTGTTTGCAACCTATGGAGACGTTGAAGAGTAAGTTCGTCTTTCCTGTCTGGATTCTTCAATTTCTTTTACTTATTTGTAAAATTTAATCAAGCCCTTATTCAATCCCCACTTTTCTCTTGCTACAGATGTAAGCCAATGGACGCAGAAGACTGTGAGGCATTCACTGATGTTTACTGGATCAAATTTCGTCTCTTTAGCAATGCAAGGTGATTATTACATTATTCTATGTTCTTTCATGAAGTATGATATCTACCTATATAGGGTAATTACCAGCGTCATGTGCCAGAATTGGTAAATATGGTGTCGTGCTCTTACATTGTTGATAGAATAAGTGATGATGCAATTAATCGGTGTTGATTGTGTTGAACCATCTTGTGACACAGGTTTGCCAAAAGAAAGTTGGATGAGTCTGTTTTCTTGGGGAATCAGTTGCAGGTCTCCTATGCTCCTCAATTTGAGAGCCTTGATGACACTAAGGATAAGTTAGAATCCAGGAGAAAGGAAGTCCTTGTGAGATTGAATCGTATGTTTGTTTATATGATGTTATGATTTTATAATAGGAAGGCTTGCTTCTTATGTACCAAAAAAAATAATAGGAAGGCTTTCTCTGTTCAAATATGATCTTACTCATCAATAAATTAGTTTTTCATTCACGTTATGTTGTTTGTTCTTGACATTAGCTCAAAGATCCAGAGGACCTCCAGATCAGCACCCATCTACTTCTACTGAGCTTCCATTGCTGGCAGAGCCTTCACAAAATATTCCCAAGCAGATAAACTACGGGAAAAGGTAACACGATATTCAAGTGTATCAAATATCATGCCATTTTCATCATTGAATTTATGATTTTGATTGCAATCTGTATGATGGATGATATTTCCTTTCTGAAGGTATTCTGGAGAATCAGAGTATAATTCTCACATTATTAATGCGCCAATAACAAGGGTTTCATCTGACAAGGTACAATGTTGCTCTTTGACAATTTTGAAAGTAGATTTTAAAGCAGAAATGACCTGTTTCCAAACATAGGAATTTAGGATGGTTGATTTGGTGAGAGTACATTGGTCATCATGAGTATATACTCCATTTTGTGTTTGGGTTGCTTAACCCAAGTTCCACGGGAATGGAATGGTTAGTGCAACTCCAAATAGAGATAGGTTTTCACCATTGCTTTCATCCATGCTTAACATTTGGTTTAGTTCCCAAGTCCCAACAAATCCCTGTTCCTTGACTTGATCCCACGCAACTAGAACTCTTCATTAATCACTTGGATGAAGAAATATTTCCCATGATGTAATTTACTCCAACATTCAAGTTTTCATTTTTCTTCTTGGAACTATCGGAATTTCTAATGTGTAGCCATTGTCTTATCCTTCAGCCTAATTGCCTAATGATGTATTCACCTACCCCAAGAAATCCTTCTGTTCTCTTTGTCCCCAAGTTAAAACCTGTTTAATTACAAATTTGATGTCCAGATTCTTAGATGAAACTTCTCTAAATCTTTATCTTGATGATATTTGCCTTTAGATGATGTTCCAAATTCTAAATTATAGTATCCGTATCTCTAATATTTCAAACTTATTGGTCACCGTACACTGATATTTCAAAAATAGAGTATATTTTTCCAAATTGTTGAATATTTATTGAATTAAAATTTTGACATTGCCTTGTCTTCCGTTGACACATCTTTATCTCCTGGAATTGCTCAGGATTATTTTCAATCCCAATCGATGAATCGAACCGTGCAAATGGTTAGGGACAAGCTTGATAAGGTGATAAAACTTAACCGAATGAGTCCATTTCACAAGTTATTACATTTATGTCATGAGAACTTATTTTACTTTATCAATTGTTTTAGATTCAATCAAGTAGTGAGCATCTACAGCCAGGACCAGCATCCAAGAAAACACGAGTGGACAACAGAAGAAGAATCTAATGAGTTTAGGACCTTTAGACTTTGTAGAAATTGGCAGTATTTCAAAATTTTGTTGCACACCATCTGCTTGAAAAACTGCAAGTCTTTTTTTCTTTTTTTTTTTTCTTTTTTTTTTCCATTTTATTCATAATGTAGAAGCTTTATGCATAATGATAATACTTGTTTTCATTTTTCCGCAAGCCAAGCTTTCCGCCCTTCATCCGTCAAGAGAATCAGAGAGAGAGTTATGCAGACTCCAATTTCATAAAACTTATGTTTGCACCTCATAGAAATGCAATGTTCAGGGAAAGATACGCCATAGACACGGAAAAAGGGGTATAAATAACTTTGATCTTTCAGTAGGCTGTAAACAGTATTTAAGACAAGTACACCTGGACACCAGCAGTTTTCATTACCTGACACACAGGACAAACGCTGATAAATACATCACAGTCTTTACATAAGCAAAGGTGCCTGCAAGGCATCAACAAAATGCAGACCTCCTTCGTTTTGCATGCTCGGCAAATCATATTCTCCTTCATGCCTTGATTTCTTAAAACAGATCTTGAAGAACCTCCCGGAATGCTCAGGTAGTTGTTTGGGTCTATGTATGAGGCAGCATCATCGACTTCACTGTCTCCAAAACCTTCCTTCCCTTGTTCAGCACCCTGTGAAATTGCCTGCTGTAGGTTGTTCCTTAGGACATTAACAATTGACTCATTGTGCTTAGCTCTGTAGCGCCAATTCTGAGCTTCTGTAGCCACCTGCCTTATTTTCTCAACCAGTTCTTGGTTCTTTCGATTCATATTCTCTATCTCTAGGTCCTTTTCCTTTAGTTTCTTGCCAATACCTTTCTCAAGAGCAGCAAGGAAAGAAGCCATGTGCCTCTGCTTCATGTCCCTTACCCCCTTTACCAAGTGTTCTTCCTGAATAAAATGCGAATGTCAATTGAAAGCTTCAAGACAACACCAATCAATCACATCCAAACTTGCATCTGAATTTTCATGGAGGTAAACATTACCTGAATTTTAATATATTGATCAAACTCTTCTTTCTGCCGATCTAGCTCACGGCGAATATTGTCGCCAAGGGAAAACATGATTGATGGCACTGCTGCCATACTTCCACTGGCAGATGTCACAGATGAGTTGCGTTCATCATCATCATATGACAGCCTCAACCCAGTTGACACCAGGTTTGGGTTTCTTGCTGAGTGATCAGCTTCCTCTTGACAGATGTTATAATTCAAGGAAATCTGTAGCTTTTGCTGCCTTTGGATATCTTCCATTTCCCTGCCTCTTTTGTTGGGCCGTACCATAGGAGAAAGCTGTTCATTTCCCAAAAAATTTACTGGATCAACAGTACACCCAGCTGGAACTGGAGCATCAACAAACATTGAAGATCAGTAAGATATACAAATTTTGAAAATGGAAGGCAGGTTGAGCTTTAGCACTCATCATAAAGCAGGATTGGTAAAAAGAGAAGCAAAGTTTGATTACATAGAACAGGCAAAAGAAACCAAAATCTAATATAATTCCATAATTAAATGAGAAGTACTCACCATTCCCAAGTAGCTGCAGGTGGTTCGCTGTGTTAGTCTGATACTGAAAGCGGTTCTCATTAAGGAAATCTGGAAGCAAAGGATTACCATTGTTGCCTCCTAACATTTTCCCAAGATAAAACCTAAATCATCACAGATTATATAGCCTCTGAGAATGTATACCATTTAGAATCCAACTGAACTAGAAGTCCAAAAATATTCAAAATCCAGATTATCAAGCAAGCAGGAGTGAAGGTTCTAGCAATTCCAAAGAACATCTTGTTGTTGTCGTATTTAACTGAAAATCAAATCCACCCCCACCCCCCGCCAAAAAAAAAAAAAAAAAGAAACCCAAAGAAAAAAAAATAAAAGGGAAAAAAAGTTCAATCAGTACAAACTTTCTATCCATGCTCTAAAGTACAAGGATCATAAGGTCCATCTGACCTGTACAGATAAGGAAAATTGTACACTTTTAATGGTTTGGGCTGCAAAAGGCAATATCGACTGCCCCATTCAGTTCATGTATCAATCACAATTTTAAGGAATGAGACTATCAACTATATGTTGTATTTGCAGCATGCAAAAGATTTCCCATATTCTAAGGTCCACCAACCACCAAAGGCATATGAAAGTTGTAAACTCACCAACAGCCAAATTAGTAAGTTTCCATTGTAAGAAACTGTGCAACGTCATCTAAAATGCTTTAGCAGGAATTTTAAGCAGGTAAAGGCTGAATATATTAAATTGGCAATATATATATATGGAATGTTAATTGAAACAGATTATTCTGGTGATCTCAATAAAGGGTCACATAAAACCCATAAACATTTAACAAAACACATAGAATGTGATATTATAATAACATCAGCTCTACAATCATATTAATGATACGTTAAGATGGCTATCAGAAAATTTCAAAAGCCACGCATTACTAGCAAAAAATACCATACATAGAATTCAGTAAAGGATATAAGTCCACCATAACATAACGTTATGTTATGCTCAGCAAAAAGATTAGAGATGATTTTAACTAGTGACTGCATATTATGGGCTAATGAGTAGAAAACCTAACAGAATTGCTTCAGCGTCACTTATATTAGGCTTACATCAAATGCATTTCCATTTCCATGACGTTATGGACTCGAAGGACACCACGTGGCAAATTATTCAAATATTTGCATGAAAGTATACTAACAGAAAGCCAAGAATTTTCAATTTCTATTACAACCAAAATTTCCAAGTCAAATACATGTGTTCAGAAAACACAAGCAGGTGAATATGCTGCCCATGACAAAATCTACAACTTCTAATATTCGGAATCTATAAATAGGTAATTCTTTTACTAAAAAAAGGAAAAGACATGGACTTTCAAACCAAATAAAGCTTTAGATCATTGAAATCTTCAAATTCAACTGTCAAGACCAGACTAAAAATCAATACAGCAGGAATAGTAGCAAATAGCAGATTATGCAATGAACTTTTGGTGCCAAAATCAAAATAAAGCTGGGAAATGAGAGCTGATAAATGAGGAAAAGTAAATATGGTTAAATTTCAAGGAAAAGAACCTATGAATCCATAAAATACCAATCTTTTTCGTGACACAGAAAATACCTCAACGGTAAGTGAAAAAAGATGATAGATTGATTCAATAGCAGGTGAGGTTCGATCATCTCAAAAATCATAAAACAAACTGACGAAAAAAAAGAAAACACAAAACAAAACAAACAACTGCAGGATTTATAGATTCATCGCTCTCCCTAGAAATCAACGAATCCAGGCAGAGCATCGTCAGAGATTCAGATTGAAAAACAAATAATCCAACAAGAAGAACGGAAGAAAGAACAGCCGAAACTACCTCCGATATACAAACTCGTCGATCAAACAAAGAACACCAGCTGCAGTCCAAGATCCTGCAATCGCACACCAAACTTGAATCGCCGAACAAATACAAAGCAAAAAGAAAATCAATAAAAAAAAACCAAGAAGGCCGAATCTTACCTCAAAATCTAAAGCTATTGGAGAAGAAACCGGATTAAGCAACTGATCATTGAGGATCCGACGGAAATCACCGATGAATCGAGAGAAAAGATGTGATCGGAGAAGAAAACAGGGAAGGAAAATGAAACGGACGGATGGTGGAATCTGCCTAAGAAGAAAGAGTGGGGGAAGTTGGGAGCAAGCAAAATTATTATTATTGAAATAATCGGTGGGTACTGCTGGACTTGCCCCCCCTTCACTTTACTGTTTAACTGATTTTTTTTTCTTTTTTCGTTTCTTTTTGTTTTGTTTTTTTACTTTTTCTTTTGGGGTTTTTTTTTTAAAAAAAAAAAAAACTCAGTAACAGTGAAATTATTTAGAGAAAGATTAGCATGTTAAAATCCGATTTGTTTAAAAGTGTTGTTATAGATATAATTTTTTTATGTTATTTTTTAATATAATTTTTATATATTATTAAAAAATAAATATATTTAATATTATAAATTTTAAATTAATAAAAATAATTAATTATTTTAATAATATGTTAAATTATATCAAAAAAATAATATAAAAAATTTATCCCGAGTTCATTCTCTTTGTTAACGATAACTACGGAGTAGTGGAACCCAGCAAAATTATTATTCTTGGTGTATTTTGTTGGTTTAATTCGCGGGACAGCATTAGTATTACTGTGATAAACTAATTAATCGTGATTTTCTAGAATTGATTGTGATTTGACTGTAAATTAACTTCGTGAAAAAATGAACTTTGATTCCATGTGATTTTGGGATTTTGAATGTTTCTCTTTTCTCCGTCTTTATTTTTGAATCGTGCTTCACATTCACATTTTGACAGGAACGCTACATATCACACTACATTATATGGTTAATTTTTGTTGGCTAAATTTTTTTTTTTAAAAAAAATAAAGAAATAAATATCTTAAAATTATGATATTTTAATAAAATATTATAAAAAATAAAATATTTTTATTTTTATTTTTAAAAATAAGTTATGTTAATTTTTTAATAAAAACTTATTAAAACAATATAATTTTAAGATATCTAATTGATAAATAATTTTTTATTAAAAAAATGTGTAATCTCTCGAAGGAAAAAAAACACTAATCATAAATTTATATTCATTTTATTTAAATTTAATTATCTTACTTTATTTATTTATGATTATTAAGAAATTTATTTATCATAATAATTAAAATTTATCTTTTTACCCTTACTTATAATTAAATTAAAAAAATCATATTGCATTCCTATCTCTTTAGAGATAAAAGTAAAATTTAAATATTAATATTTAATATCTTTTTAAATTAAATCAAACTATTTTTATATAAAAAATATGATAACTAAATTCAATCAATGAGAGCATATCATATTTATATATACAATATTATATGCCTAGCATTTTGTTTGTCAACTAGTGTATGATTCTTTTAAACGTACATTCTGATCCAGTGGTATTGAACTTTGGCTTAGGGTTATTCATTTTTAGTTGGTTGCACGTTCGAACTCCACAAAATCCTTTTATTCCCTTCCCCAATTAACCATATAAATAATTATAAATTGTTAAAAAAAAAAAAAAAAGAAGCTAGTATGGCTCTTTTGGTTTGCTACATGGAAAGTCCAGCAACTAACTTTATTTTTTTTTTTTTTATCAAGTTTATAAGGATAAATATCAAACCCATCATGAGAAGGGAAAATGCACTGTAAGGCAACCTTAAGGCCGCTTGGCCCGAAGGGCCAAGTGCGTCCAGCAATTAACTTGAGATACAGTTTCTACGAGAATTATATTAGAATCGTGTTCGGTACACACTCTTTTAAAAGTTTATTAATCAAGAAATCAACGTAGACTCACTTTTTTCTTGTTATTTGTAATTGTTAAAGGCATTTTAT